ATATATATATATATATATATCTTCTTGTTTGTATTAGTGTGTGTGGTAGACATTATTATTACTGAAGAAACACCATTCATTCCGTACACAAATGTCCAATTTTGCTGAGTGGACTGAACCCTCAACACTGCAGGGGCCACAAATGCCCTTCTGGAAGCGGGCCGAGACCCGATGGAAACAACAACAGGCGTTAAAATTAAAGTTGGAGGTGTTCTGTCGGCGTTACTGCCCGCTGCAACTACACTTAGTGCCACTTCTCGCTGCAGAGTATAATAGCCGTGAGGAGAAATTAAATGAAGAACTCTTCGCCATCTACGGCCACTCACTCACAGAACTGCAAACAGCAGTAGTAGAAGAAGAAAAAGAAAAAGAAATGAAGATGAATGTAGAGAGAGGAAACACACAGAGTTCATCTACGCTCTGTGGGACTGGAGATTTCGTTAGGAATCCTATGGAGCAGGCTATGGCTCTAGCGACTTATTTCGGTTTAGATCCTTACTATGTTAAGGCAGTGGAAAAACGTGTGAGGCTCGCATCTATTAAGAGAAATAATCTAAACAAGTATGAAGAAGAAAAAGAAGAGGATAAAGAAGTTAAAATACAAGAAACAGTACTCTTTGAGGTTCTAGCCACTCTTTTCCCAGATGTATTACTTCATGTATTGATGGAGTCTAAACAACGTGAGACTCTTGTGAAGAGACGTTTATTGTCTTTCTTATCATTTCATGAACCACATGATAATAATAATAATGATAATAATAATAGTACTATTAATACAAAATCTCTCACTTTATACGATAATGATTTCTCAGAAATGTGCCAAATATTTCATGATGCTTTTCGAAAATACTACGGATCTTTTCTCACAAGGCAGAAAGTGATTGAAGACCACACTGTGCTACTTCCTTTTAAACCACTTGAGGAACAGGAGGATGTGGCTCTTTATACTCATCCGTTCACAAATGAAAAAGATCCCATGCAACATCTTAAACAGAAAATGTACCGTGGAGATGTGGGAACCATGACAGATTTACCATGTACACAATATATTGGTCATTCTCCTTATTATAATAATAATTATAATAATAATTATTATTATCCTCTTTCTTCTTCTTCTATTGCGGTGAATATGAGTGGTCGTATATACGGTACGGGGCTTCCACTCTTTGGCGGCGCTCACAATGGGGTTCGCTGTGATGTTGAGCAATTAAGGCGAGAACGGGTTCTCATGAATCCACAGAAGTCTCTTTTGCCGAATTCATCTATTCTGTTAGATGCGGCGAGTTGTCAAAAGTGTGTTTTTCTGGAGGAACAGTTAGTGCAGATGCGGGCAGAACTCACACGTCTACACTGTATCGCTATAGCAAATGAAGAACAAAAATATTATAATGAAGCTGTAAAATACTCACTACAAGAAAAATATTATTCTTTCCCTAATAATAGTAGTACTACTAATACTAATACTAATATAGTAGACACATCTGTGGTAAATATATCTCAGGGTATTATAGAACCACATCATAAATGTCTCATGTGCAAAGAGCTGCGGCTGACAATAAAACAACTGGAGTCTAAACTACGTGAAAGTTATGATAACAGACGAGAACTACTCATTAAATTACGTCAAGTTCAACTCCCAGTTTCTCCGAATGTGGTTTTAATATCAAATCATAAAGGAGAAAAAAAGACAAGGACTGTCTCTACAATGACCTTATTAAAAGGTCAGCAATTGGATGAAATGAGAGGGTATATGATACTTGACTGTCTTTAAAATATATGTATCTTAAGGACACTTCCTTTTTTTTTTTATTTTTTTTTTTTTACAAGCATGTGTGAAAACATGATGTTTTTTTTTTTTGTTGTTGTTGTTCTTCTTCTTCTTCTTTTCCTCCTTTCACAGTAGCGTTTTATATGACTTCTGTATATAAATAATATCCCTTCTCTCTCTCTCTCTCTCTCTATATATATATATATATATATATATATATATATATATATANTATATATATATATATATATATATATATATATATATATATATATCTTTTATGCTTATTTTCTCACTGCATATAAGGGAATATTGTGTGCATTGTAAGTTTCTTATTCACTTCTATTTATTATTATTATTATTATTATTATTCCCTTCTTTCTGGATTAGTATGTATAAATGTATTCTTCCTTCTTATATTATGGGTGCATATAGGCTCAATAAATAAATAAAAAAATAAATAAACGGAACATGTGCTTTTTTTTTTTTTCTTTTAATTATTATCTTTCTTTTGGTTCCCTATCTTAAAGGAAGTATCAGTTGCAAATAAGCGTTTTAAAGGGTAATCTACCAAAAGAGGAAAAAAAAAAAGAAAATGAGTTACAAGGGGAATAGTGATGAAGTAAATCCATATATACGAAAGGTGTATATGGTGCGTATAGTATATGATGTGATGATTTGGTTTGCATTAATTTCTCTCTTAGTCTCTATGGTGTGGTTTAATCATCGACATTTACGTATTCGTTCCAAATCTATTTACTACTGCTGTATTTTTGCTATTTGTAGTGTCATTATCAGTATACTCTTTCTATTATTTAATTATCCTAGTATATGGAAAGATCAAATTGCCTGGACAACACGTATAGGTGCGTTTGGTTGGCTTATACTGCTCCTCTATTCTGTTCAGCATGTTCACATTCCTAATATCATTTTCACTTCTTTGCTACTATTACTTTTAATAACGGCGTGGGTAAATATTTCAGTACAACTTTTATCCTCTATGTTTTACTCAGCAGATATCATTGCCGATATTGTATTAGTGATACCACACACAATCATATTTATTGCCATTGCTGATTGGGAATGGTTGATTGTACATGAAATCACTTCTGTATTCCGTTGGAAACCAACTACTACTACTACTACTACTACTACTACTACTAACACAACAACAACTACAAAAACTAATACAATGGAATCTGAAATCTCTGCAGATGTGTATAATGATGGATTTCAGTCTAATTTACTTCCTCTACGTCGTGATATGTGTGTGGATGCATATACGCCAGAGATGCGTTTTGGACGAACACATTCATTTTTATATATACTTATGAGGCGTTGGGGAGGAATGTATCTTTTATTAGCCATTGTGCGATTGATGTATGAACTTGGTGGTTTATTGCCAGCGTATCTATTGCGTACATTAGTGGATAATCTCGTTCAAGCACAGTCTGGGAGTACAAAGAATGGAACTGGAGATTTTCAAACATCTGCAGTGGTATTGTTTTTAATTATTTTATGTACACTTGTAGTAACATTTCTTCGGGTACATTATAATATGAAGCTTAAGAAGATAGCCGTTTACAATCGAGGTTTATTGACAATGGAACTTTTTAGATGTACTTTAAATAGACGAAAATATCAAATTGAGAATAAAACACAAGGAGAAATTATGAATCATCTTACAGTTGATATTCAACGGGTATCGGATGCTGTTCAAACCATTAATGATTTATGGGCTTTACCATTACAGTTGATATTTGCTCTTTATCTTCTTTATATTCAAGTATCTTTTGCCTTTCTTGCAGGTGTAGTGGTGACGCTTCTACTTATTCCTGTTAATGCCTTACTTGCGAAACGTATTAAACATGTACAAACCAATCTTATGCAAGAAAATGATGAACGTGTATTGACGATAACAGAAATTGTAAATAATATACTTTATGTAAAAATGTGTGGTTGGTCTCATTTAGTACAAGGATGGGTAAAAATACCACGAGAACATTATATGAAATATCTTACTTGGTTAAAGTATTTAGATGCCTTATGTGTATTTTTTTGGGCTACTACACCAACACTCGTATCTTTATTTACATTCATTACATTTATTTGGATGGGAGGACATTTAACTACTGGTAAAGCCGTTACCGCATTAGCCTTATTTGGATCTCTTATTATGCCTTTAAATGCCTATCCATGGGTTATTAATGGTTTTATGGAAGCCTACGTATCATGGAAGCGTTTACAACCCTTTTTAACGATAAAATTAAATGATAGAACTCTAACTTCAATGAGATGTTCATTAAAAGATAGGAGTAATATAAAAGATTATAGAAAAAAAGAAGAAGAAGATGGTCAATTGGGTAGAATATATAAAGTAGGAGAGAGACAACCTTTATTACTGGAGAAGGATATAGCAGATAATTCATATCAAGTACAACAATCTTATTCGAAAAGTTTTCAATTATTTGAAGAAACAAATAATGATTTTTTAGTTAATATAAAAGAAAGTGGTGTGATTTGTACAGTTTCAGTAAAAGATACAAGTTTTAAAGATGATTTTATATTACGTATTCCAAAATTTCAAGCCTCTCGTGGTCAACTTATAGCCATTGTAGGACGTTCTGGATCTGGAAAAAGTACATTTTTAAATTCTATTGCTGGGGAAGTGATGATAACTTCAACAAGTGCTTCTACAGATGTTATCTCTATCACACCAACATCTATAGCTTATGTGGAGCAGCAACCTTTTTTAATATCAGGAACCATTAGAGAGAATATTCTCTTTGGTCTTTCCTATGATTCTAGTCGATATGAGGCGGTTCTTCACGCTGTGGCGCTAAAAGAAGATTTAAATTATTGTTTTCATCCAGATGGTGATAATAGTCCTGTGGGAGATCGTGGTGGTTTATTAAGTGGAGGTCAGAAAGTACGAGTGGCATTAGCTCGTGCCCTTTATGCTGATAAGGAAGTATACCTTATAGATGATCTTCTTGGTTGTTTAGATGCTACTGTAGCTCATCATATTATAATAGAAGCTTTTGTAGCTGCAGCGAAAAGAGGAAGTTGTGTTATTGTTGTAACCCATAATGAGGAACTTATACAACAAGCAGATGCTGTATATATATGTAATGAGGGTCATATTTTATACACCAATCAATATTATGATACTATTGGATCATCTTTAAAAAGTATACAGAAAAAAAAATCGGATTCCATGATAATAGGATGTACAATAAAGAAAAAAAATGTTCAAATTGAAGAAGAAGAAGAAGAAGAAGAAGAAGCAAATATAAATATAAAAAGGGAAAAGGATAAAATAAATGTAAAAAAAGTAGAAAATGAAGTGTTGGATAGAATAGTTTCTAAACCTATTTTAGAAACTTCTGAGCGTGGATCACTTTCATGGGATACCGTTACATGTTATATTAGTCGTATTGGTTGGAAATTAACTGGATTTATTGTAATTTCAGTTATTGCTATGCAACTCTCTCGTAATCTTAGTGATCAATATGTTGTTGTTTGGTCTAAAGATGGTAAAAGTAATACCACTATGTTTTTACGTGTTTTGGGATTACTTGCGGTATTAAATAGTTTGTTAGCACTCGTACGTGGATTTTGTTTTGCCATTGGTGGACTTAAAGCCGCAGAGAGAATTCATAATGAACTTTTATATCATGTCATTTCCGCTACTTTTGCCTTTTTCAGTAATACACCGCCTGGACGTATTATTACTCGAATGACAAGAGATATAAGTACAATTGATGATTCCTTACCATTTATTACAAATATCTTGCTAGCTCAGACATTTCTTTTTATAGGATCTTTAATTATTATTCTTGTGAATTCTAGTGTTGTGATGATGTTTTTATTATTACCTCTTTTGTTATCTTATTATCATATACAACGTCCTTATCGAATATTTTCACGTGAATTGAGACGATTAGAAGGAGCCGCTGATGCTCCTTTATTAGATACTCTCCGTGATTCCATAGATGGTGGGGTGTTAATTCGATCACTTGGAAGAGAAGCTGTGGAATCACAACTACGACGAGCCAAAGAATCTCTTGAACTTATTCTTCGTATACAATATAATACTCTTTTATTGAATGCCTGGTTTATTCTTCGTTTGGAGTTGGTAGGTATTTTATTACTGATCTTTGTTGGTAGTGTTGCTTTGCTTGGACACGGAAGTACACATGCCCCACTCTTGGGATTAGCGCTTGCATATGTACAACCACTAACTTCTTATGTAAATGGTCTTTTAGGGGCTTTAATTTCTACAGAAAAAGAACTTGTTAGTGTTGAGCGTGTACGACAGTATTTTCAGTTACCTAATGAAGAGGGAAATGGAAAAAATATGGTTTGTTTATTTCCTAAAACTCCATGGCCATCTGTTGGAGTTATTCATTTTACAAAAGTTTCTATGCGTTATGATTTGTCTACTCGACAAGTATTACAGGAATTAACCTTTCATGTAGAGGCTGGAGAAAAAGTTGCAATAGTTGGACGAACAGGTGCTGGAAAATCTTCTATTTTTGCTGCTTTATTACGTCTTGTAAATCTTGATAACGGTTCTATTACTATTGATGGAATTGATGTTGGAAAAATACCATTAGAATTTCTTCGTACTTCTATAGGTATTCTCCCACAACAGCCATTTATTTTTCATGGTACACTACGTAAAAATTTAGATCCTCTTAATCTTTACACAGATGATAAGATTCATACCGTTATGAATTCTGTTGGTCTTGGTGAATATTCTATGGATTACGATATCGTTAATAGTGAAAGTATTAGTGGTGGTCAACGACATCAAATTGCGGTGGCTCGTGTATTACTTCAACAATCCCGTATATTACTATTGGATGAACCCACATCTCAGTCAAGTGTGGAAGCGGAGTCATTACTATGGAAAATGTTAGATGCGCATCTAAATAGAACTACATTGCTTTGTATTACACATAAACTCACACATATTGATTTTTTTGACCGTGTCATTGTGATTAATGATGGACATGTTGTGAACAGTGGGACACCGACACAACTGCGGCAAAATCATTCATGGCCTTTTTCTTTGAATTTAAACACATCTCATATTCTTTAATGATGATTTGTGATGTTATTATTATTTCTTTTTTTTTTTATTTTTACCCATTTTTTTTTTTTTTTTTTTTTTTTGGCTTATTATATAATTGTTTATTTATGGGGAATGTTATTCATTTCATCTGGAGAAGATATCTAGTTATTTTTTTCTTTTCTGTTTTCCCATTCTCTCTAAAGAAAGAAGGGAAAAAATAGTAACAATAAAGGAAAAGACCTGTAAAAGATATCTGTTTTTCTTTCCTTCTTTCCTTCTTCTCTCTCTCTCTCTCATATATATATATATATATATATATATATATATACATTTCTCTCTCTTATTGTGGGTGATAGTATAGTTATTCATGCAGTCGCGGTGTCGGCTGGTGGCTATTCTCACCGGCGCCGGTCTCTCGGCGGAGTCGGGCATCGCCACTTTTCGCGACCAGCGCGGCCTGTGGGAGAACCACCGCGTGGAGGACGTCGCCTGCCCGTCGGCGTATCAGCGGGACCCGCTGGTGGTGCAGCGCTTCTACAACGCCCGCCGCCGGGCACTGTTGGCCCCGCAGGTGAAACCCAACGCGGCGCATCTCGCGATTGCGAAACTGCAGCGGGAGTTCCGCGACGGGCGAGTGGTGGTCATCACACAAAACGTGGATGATTTGCATGAGCGGGCGGGATCCACGTCGGTGCTGCACATGCATGGAGAATTATTAAAGGTGCGTTGTACCGTAACGGGCGAGGTGTTTCACTGGACACGAGATGTGGAGCACTTGAAGGATAAATGTGCGTGTTGTGCCGCCGTTGGGACGCTGCGGCCGCATATTGTTTGGTTTGGTGAGATGCCACTTTACATGGATGCGATCGCGGAGGTGTTGGAGAGGGCCGATCTCTTTGTATCTATTGGAACTTCCGGTAATGTTTACCCCGCTGCGGGATTTGCTCTTCAGGCAAAGGCAAATGGGGCTAAAACACTGGAGTTGAATCTTGAGCCAGGTGAGAATTACAGTAACTTTGATGAGAGTGTGTATGGAAAGGCTTCAGAGATAGTACCAACCTGGGTGGAGAAGATGTTGAAAGAGAATGCAGAATAATAAGAAGTTTCACTCTCTCTCGTTCTCTCTTATTGTTATGAATAAAGTTATCTGTTACTGTTGTTGTTGTAGTTGTTTCTTGTATTTGCATCATATTCAGAGAGAGAAGAGAGAAAGGGAAAAGAACAGGGTGTATGTTCTTTTTTTTTCCGCGTTTCTCTCTTTCTCTCTATCTTTCCTTCTTGTTCACTTTGTCTACTTACTTAACACTCTAAACAAAGAATCTATTTAATACTTTTTTTTTTTATTGCTTTGTTTAACTTCCTTGAAACCTTCTTTTTTATTTCTTTTTTTTTTTGTTTGAAATTATGGGAGAGGATCAACAACAAGAAAAACGAATAAAAAATTTAAAGGAAGAAAAGACGGTTTTTAAAAACCTAGCAGAAGAACGTGGGAAAAAGAAAAACGGAAACGAAAAGTATTAATTTCAACAACAACAACAGAAGGCATATCTATATCTATATATAAATATATTTATTTATATATATATAGATTTTATCAAGGAACAGAAATCCAGTGTAGATAAAGGGTGATAATAAAACAAGAATGCGCACGTTTCTCCGCTATTTGGGATTATTATTTATTCTCGCCGTGTTTATCGCGTCTGGTTTACAACAGATTGTGAATCCCTCTGTTGGTGCGGCGTTATTGGCAAAGAGCAATTTCCCACAGATGCTGCAGATGCTCGGTGTGCAGTACCGCCTGCGTGCTGTGGACTACACTGCGGTGATTCAGGCAACAGGAGCCGTCTTTCTTGGCTTTTCGCTCTTTATTCTTCTCGGTGTGGGCCGTGGCTTCTTTGCTTTCATGTTGGCGTTGGGCACTATTGTGGTGACCATCGCCTTCCACGTCAATCTGGAGAATCCACGAGCGACGACGGAGAATGATCTCTTTCACGTGATGAAGAATCTCTCCATCACAGGCGCTCTCCTTTTTGTTGCGGGTAGTGGCCACAGATCTCATAACTTCTCCAAGGCTCATCGTGAAGTATTACAGGAGCACAAGAAAAAGTAATATACAAGAAAGAGAGTATGTTTGCAAGTACAGAAAAAAGAATGAAAAGAAAGAAAGAAAAGAGATAGAGAGAGGGGGGTGAGGGATTGGGTCTGGAAACGATTTTCTTTCTTTCTTTTTTTGATTATGATTATCTTTTTTTTTCATTTTCTCATATATATATATATATATATGAGACTGAAAACAAGATTAAATAGACCGGTGTTTATGATATCCTTTTTTATTGGAGATAACGGTTGCTAACCTTTCGTCTGCAGCAAATACAGATCTTCTCCCACAAGGTGTGTAATTGAATGCAATGAAGGAAAAGAAAAGAAAGAAAAAAAAAAAAAAAAAGGGAGAGACTAGATAAAGAGAGGAATTAAACAAAAAAAAGAAAAAAAAAAGGAAGTAAAGAAAAAAAAAAAAGTGAAAAAATTAGAGACAAAAAAAAAAAGAAATAAATGGAATGGAATTTGTAAACTTACACCTCAGTCTTTTACAAAAGAAAAAGAAAGAGAAAATATGTAGGTTGACAAGTGATATGGTTCTGTGAAGTGCATGACGGGAAGGAAAAAGAAATTGAAAAAAGAAGATTGTTGAGACTGGGAATGAAAGAATCCCTTTTTTTTTTTTATTTGTGCGTCCTGAGCGTCGTGTGTGTGGAGCAGTGGGAATGAAAAGACACGAAAACTTAAAGAAGAGCCGAATATAATTTGCTTCAACTTATCTATTTTGATACCTTTCCTTTTTTTTTTCTCCACCTTTTCTTTCTCTTTCTTTCTTTCGTTCTTTCTTTATTTATTTATATTTCCTTTTCATTCAATCTGTTTTTTTTTTTTTT